GTGGCCTACAGTTGGCTCCGGGCATTGAAAATTTGGCTTGGGAATGGTGTTCTGGGAAGACGAAGAACACGAAATGGCCTGCAGCTGGCTCCTGGCATTCAAAATGTGGCCTGGGAATGGTGTTCTGGGAAGACGAAGAAGACGAAGAGGCTTACAGTTGGCTCCGGGCATTCAAAACGTGGCCTGGGAATGATGTTCTGGGAACACGAGGAACACGAAGTGGCCTACAGTTGGCTCCGGGCATTCAAAATGTGGCCTGGGAATGGTGTTCTGGGAGTGGATTCCAAAGAATTCCTAAGGATTCCTAAGGATTCCTGGGGCTGACCCTTTTGTCCGTTTTTGTCCGGATCCCGCCCAGACCCCCTTGGGGCGTCAAGATGCTTTCTCTTGACCCCACTAGAAACGTATCAGTCTTCGCTGTTAGGTAAAAAACTCCCCCCCTTCTTTTCAGAACCCCGACATCGTACTTTGTTCCGCGACGTTGACTGCTGGAGGTCAGGGCCACTTCCCAGAGACCGACTTTTCATGCTGAGTCGTTTTTTGACTGCCCTGGAGCTCGGCCAGAGCCACCAGAGGCTGAAATCTGGTATCCAAAGTCTGATATCTGTTTTGCGACGCGAGGGGATATGGGTCTCCCCCCTTTCCTCCTCCTCCTCATCCTCCTCCTCCTTTCCCTCCTCGATTCCCTTCGGGGGCCACCTATTAAAGTTGTTGGAACAACACAGGGACGATTAGCACGGCCCTTCGCGAGGATGACACGCACACATCGAGAAGTGTTAACCTTGTTTCCCTATTAACCTCGTCTCCTCCTCCTCCTCCTCCTCCTCCTTCTCCTGCTCCTCCTCATCCTTCTCCCTCCACTCGGTGGGCGGAGAGGCCACCAAGCGGCGCCAGCTTTGCAAGGTTTTCGCCTCGATCGCTGCAGATTTGGAACAGACGGGCCTGCCTTGTAACAAACTCGGCCTCTCATCCTCGTCCAAGGAGTTGGCGGCAGGAGTGTTTGAATTCTGCGAGATGTCAGCTGATATGAAGTGTCAGGTTCGCCATGACCTATTGGGGGTGATGCCACCGACGAAAGTCGACGTCGGGCCACCACTCATCAGGACAGGTTTTTCGACGCTGAGAGGAAGGTTTCGAAGGTGGTGGCGCTCAGGGACGTTGGTGCCCAGGTGGGTAATGTTTTCAAGGCTGGAGTTCAGGCCAAGGCCCTGTGAGGGGCCAGCGTCTACGGTTTGCCCAACGCTAAGTTCAAGAGTCTTCGAGCTTCTGCGTTGCACGCCAAAGGCCGCTTGCCCAGAGGTTGCTCCTTGGAGCTGGCGTCCATGTGCTCGGTAAGGGGCTGGGCTAGGGACCTTTTAGTGCTTCCCACGGCTGACGCCATCAGGACAGATGCGCAGATCCTCCAAGATAGCTTTCTCTGGGCCACTGTTTTGCAGACCCTTTGTGAGGCAGGATCTCCCACGGCGGCCCAACCCAGGCCCTGGCCCCATGTCTAGGACCCCGTGGCTGCTCTGATCCTCACCTTTGCCCGCGCAGGATGTAAGTTGCTGGGCCCGTGGAGGGTGGGGGTGGGGGGGCGTCGGGAGAGTCAGGGACCGTGACGGAAGTTTCTCCTGCCAGGTTGGCCCGACGCGCCAGGTTTGCAGCCAGACGTCTCTTTGATTCGGTTGGGCTAGCCAGAGGCGGCAGAGGGACTGCCTGGCTTGGCGACATCGTATGGTTTCCGCTTAGCGAACTTCTGCACCTCCAGGTTGTTGCTGAATAAGAAGGGATGAACTTGGGGCGGGCACGGGGGAGGGCGCGGGGTTTCAGGGGGCAGCGAACCTTGAGAGGTCTGGCTATCGGGTCTCATTGGTGCCAGTATCGGCTCAGACAGCACGGCCGCCAGCTATCTGACGAGGGCATGCTCTGTGGCGAACAGGGTACCCCTTTCCATAGGCACTTCCGCTGTCCAGCTCGAGCAGAGTGGCGGCGGGGCACTTGCCCGCTTGATGTCCAGGCTGCGGCTCAGCGCTGTTCGCATTGTTCGGTTCAACTCCAAGGGCGTTTCGCCCGAGGCATCATCCCTGACATGTGCCAGCTGATCTCGAGTCGCCCGCGGGACCCAACGTGGGAGTTCAGGGATGACGGGCAGGTTGCGCCGCTGACGCCCCAAGGGGGCAACTTTTTTTCTGCGACGGCTCAGGGATGGACGGTTTGTTCCCCTCGCTTCGTTCGGTTGGATGAGTGATTACCGCCTATGACCAAGAGCGACGTTGTGTTGCGGGGTGGTAAGGGTCGGTACTGCCCACCACGTGCTCAGACCAGGTCGCCCGAGACGGCGATGACTTTGATGTATGCGCTGCCTCCAGGTTCCTACACGCTCCAGTGTGTGAAGGATCGGCGTTTCGCTTGCTGCTCGAGTACTGTGCGGGTTCACCAGTGGCGCGAGTTTGTTTTCTTCCGCAGGGCCCGCTTGAGTACATTGAGTGGGACAAAGTGTTGGCTCACTCGTCTGTGGAGGACGTCGGGCAACTCTCAGGCCGACAAATCAGCGACATCTGGTGCCACCCTCAGCCGTCACGAGTCAACAGGCACGTTGCTCGCTAAGGGCATGCCGTCGTTGGTCCGCCAGCTGATCAGGTCTATCGCGCGTGCCGAGGTTTTCTATCCAGGAGAAGGCCGATATGACAGCATAGGTGCGCAGGGCCTCACGTCGGTTTCCCTGGATGGGGGCCCTGACTGGGGGAGAGACGTGGGGGAGGCGAGGAGAGCGGATGAGGATGTGGTTGTTGCCGTTGTTGTTGTTGATGTTGTTGTTGTTGTTGTTGTTGTTGTTGTTGTTGTTGTTGTTGTTGTTGTTGTTGTTGTTGTTGTGGTTGTGGTTGTGGTTGTGGTTGTGGTTGTGGTTGTGGTTGTGGTTGTGGTTGTTGTTGTTGTTGTTGTTGTTGTTGTTGCCCCCGTTCCGCTCACTCTTGGTAGCCCTTCCCAGCCCCCCCCCCAAGTCCCTGGAGCCCCAGCTGGTCTCTCTTGCGGCAGATCCCTCCCAGGCCACGTGGGCCCAACGGTTGCACCACCTCTTGCAGTTTCCTGCGCTCGCAGAGGATCAGGCCCCGCTTCTGTTTTGCTCCTCCTGCGGAGCGTATACGACCATTTCCCCCAGGGGCGAGGCCTGCGGGCCGCCTGCCAGGGGTCCCAAGTCGCCCTCGTGGTCCAAGGGGAGCAAAACAAGGGGGCTTTCTGCAGGGGGACGGACCCCAATCGCCTTCACAGGCTGGGCCGGCCCCTGGGTGTCTCCTGGCGTGCTTGGGCGGGAGCTTTTCTCGAGGGCCTTCGTGGAGCCAGGGGCCCGGCCAGGAGATGAGCGGAGGGTAGATGCCCCGAAGTTCCGAAGTGGTCGGGGACCGTGCACGGCCGAGTGCCTCTCGGCGTTCGGCCTGAACGAGGCTGAAGCCCGATCCCTCGGCGCGGAGCTGCGGCAGAACGAAGCTGAGGAGTTCGACCCCGCAGAAGGAGGCAGTCTTTTTGTCCTGGGGGGTCCCGTCGATGGCCCGCGGGTGGCCTGTCAAAACCATCCGCGGTGACAAAAGGGTCCTCTCCGATGACCCCCCCTAGGTTTTTCTAGCGTGCGGATCCTCAGTGGCGTGCGATCTTCGTCCTCCTCCTCCTCCTCATCCTCTTCCTCCTCCTCCTTCTCCTCCTCCTGCTCCTCCTCCTCCTCCTCCTCCTCTTCCTCCTCCTCCTCTTCCTCCTCCTCCTCCTCCTCCTCCTCCTCCTCGTATTGCTCACCTTTCGATTCCCCCGAGGCCTTCCCCCAACAGGGGGGAAGCACTCGGTTGCCGCGGTTGGCCCGGCTGGGCCAGAGGACTCGGCATCGCTCGGGCGTGTGCATCTTTTCGACTCGGCGAGGACCGTCGAGAAGCATTTTGGGTCATCTTCCGAAACAAATTATCTTGGCGAAGGACCCAACCATATGCAGTTGTGAGTAACGCGTTATGGCCGCTTTCGGTGGAGACCCTTATGGGGCCACGAAGCGCGTGAGGGATGTGCCGTAATGGGTGGGGGGGACGCATGCGGGCGGTGCCATTGGGGCCTTCGGTGGAGCTCCCTATGGGGCCACGAAACGCTGTATTGGGTAGTGGCTGATGCATGCAGGCGGTGCTCCTCGCTGGAGCTCCCGATGAGGCCACGAAGCGCTGCACTGGTTGGGGGAAACGCGCGCGGGCCGTCGGTAGAGCTCCCTATGTGGCCACGAAGCGTTTGCTGGGTGGTGGCCGACACATGCGGGCGATACCAGTGGGGGCTGCGGTGGAGCCCCCATATGGGGCCACGAAGCGCTGTACTGGGAAGGGGGGACGCATTCGGGCAGTGCCACTGGGACCTTCGGTGGAGCTCCCTACGGGGCCACGAAATGCTGTACTGGGTGGTGGCTGACGCATGCGGGCGGTCCCACTGGGACCCGTCGGTGGAGCTCCTTATGGGACCACGAAGCGCTGTACTGGGTGGTGGCTGACGCATGCGGGCGGTGCCACTGGGGCCGTCGGTGGGGTCCTTGCGGGGCCACGAGGTGTTGTAATGGGTGGTGGCTGACGCATGCGGGCGGTCCCACTGGGACCTTCGGTGGAGCTCCCCGTGGGGCCACGAACCGCTGGACTGGGTAGTGGCTGACGCATGCGGGCGGTGCCACTGGGGCCTTCGGTGGAGCCCTTATTGGGCCACGAAGCGCGTGAGGGATGTGCCGTAATGGGTGGGGGAGACGCATGCGGGCGGTACCATTGGGGCCTTCGGTGGAGCTCCCTATGGGGCCACGAAATGCTGTATTGGGTGGGTGAAACGCAGGGAGGAGGGGGAGGAGGAGGAGAAGGAAGGAGGAGGAAGGAAGGAGGGAGGGAAGGAGGGAGGGAGGGAGGGAACGCGGGGACCGTCTCTTCAAAACGAGGACCCAAGAGCACAGGATGGTTGGGAAGAAAACACGGCGCCGACGAATGCACGGGGAGCGGACGTCTTAGCGATGGCCCGAGGACGCCCCTGTGGCGGAGTTCGTGAAGCAGGTGGAGGACCACAGGAGGGAGCGACAGGACGGCGCCCGAGCTGCCCCCCGGGGGGGCGCAGTTTAGAGGCCCGTTTCTCGTCGGAGAGGTGCAGAACCCCTCCCTCGAGTGATCAAAGCGATTCCCCCGATTCGATGCGATTTCGATGGCTTCCGGTTCCGATTCGATTCGACTTCGAATTCCGATGTGGATTCCGATTTCTCAGCGGAGGCCTACTGGCTTGCCGATTTCCGCCGATTCGACTTCTCGCGACTCGGCTGCCGATTTGTGCCGATCCGACTCGCTTCGATCGCCGATCCGACTTATCGAGTCGATTATGGGCTCTCATGCTTTCGAATGGTCAAGGGGGGATTCAGAAGCTGCTGTCTCTTCTTCTGTGGAGGGCTGGCGGGAGGCGGCTGGAGCAAAACGGGCGGGATTCGTAGGCGGAAGCCGGCGAGGGCAACACATGATACCCCGGGGGATGGCAACAGCGTTGTGTGTCGAGTCGTACGTATCTTGATGTGCGCCTTACCTGCAGCAGCGATGCCATATTTGCGACGTCCTGCAATTGCGCGATAGTTGCCGCTATGACGATCGGGCCCGCGCGAACGAGTGCGATGCGCGTAACCAGTCAGGAGCCCCGAAACTTGTACAATTGTTTTAAGAACAGTAGTGGGCGTACTCAGAAGGGCTGAAACAAGATAAACAAGCAGGGCTTATATTTCCATCGGGACGGGCAGTGAGTTCCGACGAAAGAAACATAATTGTGAGTTCCAGTCGTTCTACAATTACGCTACCGAGGAACCCCACATACTTATATTATGGCTGGAGTGATGCTAAGCATGTGAGAATAATGTTGCTGGCCGTTGTCCCGCCGATACCGTTGGTGACGCCAGTCAAGAGGAGAGGAGGGAGGAAACTGGAGAGGAGAAACGCCGCGCCCGCCACACTTTGCGAGGCAAAGCTGATTTCGACCGCACCCCCAACGCACCCCCTGTGGCGTCCAGAAAGTGCTACGCCTGCTGGGCTTTGCGACAGTGTCGTGGATAGCGGCCGCGCTGAGAGACTACCCCCTGCGCACCCCCAATGGTGTCCAGAAAGTGCCACGCCTGTTAGGCTTTGCGACAGTGTCGTGGATAGCGGCCGCGCTGAGAAACCACTCCCTGCGCACCCCCCTATGGTGTCCAAAAAGCGCCACGCCTGCTAGGCTTTGCGACAGTGTAGTGGATAGCAGCCGCGCTGATGGACCACCCCCCCGCGCACCCCCTATGGCGTCAAGAAAGTGCCACGCCTGCTAGGCTTTGCGACAGTGTCGTGGGTAGCGGCCGCGCTGAGAGACCGCACCCCCTATGGTGTCCAGAAAGTGCCACGCCTGCTAGGCTTTGCGACAGTGTCGTGGATAGCGGCCGCGCTGAGAGACCACCCCCTGCGCACCCCCCTATGGTTTCCAGAAAGTGCCACGCCTGCTACACTTTGCGACAGTGTCGTGGATAGCGGCCGCGCTGAGAGACCACCCCCTGCGCACCCCCTATGGTGTCAAGAAAGTGCCACGCCTGCTAGGCCTTGCGACAGTGTCGTGGATAGCGGCCGCGCTCAGAGACCACCTACTGCGCACCCCCTATGGTGTCCAGAGGTGCTGGTGCTGTGCTGTGCTGAGGTGCTGTGCTGAGATGGGCTGTGCGGAGGTGAGGAGGAGAGGGCGTGACTGAGGAGCGCGGGTGACGCGGGTGAGAAGAAGACCATAAACCTACGAAACATGTGGGGACAAATTGTTCCCTGAGCGCTGCCGCTATTCGTGCCGGTCGTCCAGGGGATAGCAGAAGTGGCACTTTCCCGACACCTTGGGGGGTGCGCAGGGGGGGGCTGTCCGCGTAATAGTAATAGCAGTAGTAGTAGTAGTAGTAGTAGTAGTAGTAGTAGTAGTAGTAGTAGTAGTAGTAGTAGTAGTAGTAGTAGTAGTAGTAGTAGTAGTAGTAGTAGTAGTAGTAGTAGTAGTAGTAGTAGTAGTAGTAGTAGTAATAGTAGTAGTAGTAGGTAGTAGTAGTAGTAGTAGTAGTAGTAGTAGTAGTAGTAGTAGTAGTAGTAGTAGTAGTAGTAGTAGTAGGAGTAGTAGTAGTAGTAGTAGTAGTAATAGTAGTAGTAGTAGTATAGGTAGTAGTAGTCGTCGTCGTCGTCGTCGTCGTCGTCGTCGTCGTCGTCGTCCGTCGTCGTCGTCGTCGTCTCGTCGTCGTCGTCGTGTCCTTGTCGTCGTCCTCGTCGTCGTCGTCTCGTCGTCGTCCGTCCGTCGTCGGCGTCGTCGTCGTCGTAGTAGTCGTGGTAGTAGTAGTAGTTAGTAGTAGTAGTAGTAGTAGTAGTAGTAGTAGTAGTAGTAGTAGTAGTAGTAGTAGTAGTAGTAGTAGTAGTAGTAGTAGTATTAGTAGTAGTAGTAGTAGTAGTAGTAGTAGTAGTAGTAGTAGTAGTAGTAGTAGTAGTAGTAGTAGTCGAAACCAATTGCCCTAGCCAGCTCAACCTGCCAACCCGTCCAACCAGCCAGCCAGCCCACAGCCACCCCGCCACCTAGCCAACCTGTCAGCCAACCAGCCCAGCCGCCCATCCCGTCATCCCGCCAACCAGCCGATCCCCTCCGCCTGCTCTCCGTGCCCAACCAGCCACCCTGCCAACCCGCTCTCCCCCGCCGCCTGCCCTCCGTCACCGCCGAGAGGGGGGGGGAAGTGTTTCTTACCAGCAAAAACTAGAAAACTAGCCCTCCCAGGGACCGGCGGGACAGCGGGGAGGGGGCAAATCGCACCGTATTATGCAGGACCGGGAATGGCGGGGGGGGGCCAGGCACGGTTTTGGGCCTCAAGTGTGTAACTGTCGTCATTTTTCAACGTCCACCGCGCCCTCTTTCTCAATGGAAGGCTCCCATCCTTGAAACTGTCGCCAATTTTGAGGCCCCGCGCGTGGCTTCTTAGAGAGCCACCAACAGGCCCCAGGAGGTCTCAGGAGGCATCAGGAAGCTCCAGGAGGCTTCAGGACGTCCCCGGAGGCCGTGGGAATCCTAAGGAGGCTCCAGGACGCTCCAGGAGGTCCCAGGATGCCCCGCGAGGTCCCACAAGGCCCCAGGAGGTCCCATCACGCTCCGGGCGTATCCTGAACGACCCAAAAGTTCCAGAACGCTGCGGACGCCCCTGGAGGGCTGAGGATACCCTAGGAGAGCCCAGGAGGTTTCAAGAGGCCGCAGGAAGTCCCCAGAGGTTGCTATCCCAGGAGGCCCCCAGGATTACCAGGAGGCTCCATGAGGTCCCATGGTCCATCACGCCCGAGGTAGGGAGGGGGAGGCGGAGAAGGAGGAGGACGTGGAGGAGGAGGAGGACAAGGAAAAGGAGGAGGAGGACGAGGAGAAGGATGAGGAGGAGGACGAGCATGATGAGGAAAGGATGAGCAGGGTGACAGCGTGACGCCCCAGCAAATACACTTGGTCCAATTGGTTTCTACCCCCGTGAGGGGCGTTACATGGTAGTAGTAGTAGTAGTAGTAGTAGTAGTAGTAGTAGTAGTAGTAGTAGTAGTAGTAGTCGTAGTCGTAGTCGTAGTCGTAGTCGTAGTCGTAGTCGTAGTCGTAGTCGAGTCGTAGTAGTAGTAGTAGTAGCCGTAGTAGTAGTAGTAGTAGTAGTAGTAGTAGTAGTAGTAGTAGTAGTAGTAGTAGTAGTAGTAGTAGTAGTAGTAGTAGTAGTAGAGTAGTAGTAGT